AGCTTTCCTTTAATTATAAAATGTGGACAAAATGTTCAAATACCGCTGCTCTTTAAAGGTTTGAAAAGAGGCTGACGTCATGGGAGCTGATTGAAAATGACTCTGACAGAGGAGCAAAGCTTGGTGTCAAACCAGCTCCAGAAGCTCCTGATTGAAATGTCTCTAATTCATGGTGTAAGACAGATCAACAAATGGAATGGCATAAAAATTAGTCTAGACAAATCTTTTTTTATAGATATACCGGTATATATCAAAGTCATCATAAAAGGCTTAAATATCCAGTGTGTCTTAATATATCCACAAAGTTTTAGGTTTGAGCCCGTGTCTGAACTCCGTGTGCGGTCATGCATTTTCAAATTTTTTTTTTTTTAGCCCACAGGTCTGACATTTGACTCCGGCTAAAAAAGGTTAGAATGCGACTACATGGCATATGTTGGTCGACTGCAGCTTGACCTACTCATGATTACATCTTAGATATCTAATAAAACACACAGAAAAAAAAAAGTGTTTTTAAGTAAAGAATCATCAGAGCAGTTCAGTCTGGAGCCTCTTTTCTCAATCAGATCACTCGGCTATCTTATTGTCTTACCTGATCTGTTCTTTCCTCTTCTGGATCAGCTCCACCAGCGTCTGGTCAAAGTATTCTTCGTCCTGGTCATCCCTGTTCTGCTGTTTGACGGCTGCCTCCACGTTTTGCTTGTGCGTGGGGCTGGAAATGTGGCTGGCGTAGTCAGTCAGGCTAGCCATATTCACCTTGCACACTCGGCACTCGTGTCCGCAGTCACTGGGGAGAGAAGGCGAGAGCGGTGGTTCAATCCTTCCTTCAGGCATGATGCTGCTGATTGCTCTTACACGCCGGCTCTACTCGCTTATAACTTTGACGTCTTAATAATAAACCCAGGAAAGGAGATTACTCAACAATCCTGTCAAATAATTAGTCTGATTTGTCTCTTGCAGATCAGGAGGCAACTAACTTAGAAATTTATATGCGTTAAAGTCTTAAATCATCCTGATCTTAATGTTCCCTATTTTTCAGCAGGCCGTAGATGGCGGCGGCCAGGCTGGACCCAGGCAGCGTGCTAGTTTAGATGTTGGAGTCCAGCCATGCAGCACAGCGCTGGGACGTGTGGGTGGAAAAGAGGCCGCCGTCCTCAGCTCAGTGCGCCTTCATGATGGTGTCCGCTGCGCTCTGGTGCTTCACAGAAGGCGCCGTCTGTATTTGACCTCCCTCTGCGCTCCAAATGCCAGAACCCACCCCCCACCTCAATCCTGCATGACGGTTTGTGTTATTGGGCCTGGAGACCCTGAACGCCAATCCCAAGTAAAGCAGTGAAACCGAAGCTGAGGGCAGCTGCTCATAGACTCCATTTTAAACCTCACCCTGGTATGCCATCCTGTCATTCTGCATTTGGGGGTGGGGGGTGGGTGCAGCTGCTTTCCTGGGTCTCTGTAAATCTGTGTCATGGGGTGGAACCATTTTCAGGCCTCTCATGCAGCTGGCAAGCACTTCTAAAACAGAGTTACTCATTTCTGGTACATCTCCAAAAAAAAAAAAAAATGTTTTGTCTCAAATTTTAGGACAAAGTAATCAGAACAAACCATCAGCGTTTAACAATGACTCTGAATCATTGTGTCATTTTTAAACCAAACCACCGCTTTATGTTACATATTGACACAAAATCGTGACAGCAATCTCAGCAACAGGCCACATTCTTTCAGTCATCTAAGGGGGGGATGGAGAGTCACAAGGAGCCCTTTGACTTCTAACAGCCATGTCTGTTGTTCAGATTGGGTCTAAATATACATGCAGCAGTGAAGGCAGCTGTCAGCACCTCTTCAAAACACGTGCTTGTGTGCACACGTGCAAATGACCCAAACAGATTCGGACAAAAGAAACTTTTACTTTTAAAGGGCGAGAGCTGAACTCACCGGCCTTTAAGCTTCTCCAGCTCCCGGTGGTGAAGCATGCTCCTCATGTGCTCATCCATGTCCTGCAGATTAACAAAGAGATGTGTTTCACTTTTAGGATTTGCAGATCATTTCCAGAGGGGTTAGTGTTTAAATTGAAGAGAGCTAAATTAATTTTATAAGAGGATGTTTATGCACAAGAAAGTAAAACAGCTTTATGCATACAGAGGTCATCAATTGAAGAAGCATGGAGAAAAATTCCACCTCTGGGTTATTACCTGCTTGGAGGAGCAGACGATTTCACACAGGACGCACTGCCTGTTCCTCATCATTTTTTTACACAGGTGGATCTCAGCCCATTACTGTCAGGGGAGAGAGTTAATCAGACTTTAAAGAAATGATTAAAGTGTTCTGTTATGAACTGCAAGCTTTCATAGAGCTGCTGGAAAGCTTGTGATGTCTGCAGCAAACTGAAACCTTAGCAAAAATATTTGAAATTCTTCACACCGTTAAGAGCACAGCGCAGTGTCTATTTAATGCATCACCAGAGGTCCAAATGGTAGCAGAGATCAGCCGGGATGCTGGTTTTTATTCCAGGGTGCTGATGGAACAACTCTGCTGCCAAATGTATAAAGCCGTGGTCGCATTGGAGTCATGCCTGGACTTGTCTAAAGCTTACAAACTGACTTAGCATTTAAAAGCCAGTTAAAGGGGACACCAAGCATCAGATTTGTAAAACTAAAGCCTGAACTGTTATGACTGTAACATTTAACATCCAAGCAAAGTTGAAAGAAAAAAAAATCCTTTAAAATTTTCATTAATGAAAAAAAATCTTGTAAAAAAATCGTGTCCACCACACTTATTTGGTGGGGTAACATTAAAGGAGACCACACAAGGATTTTCACATTAAATGAAAATGTAATTTATTAAATTATATTAAAGAAATTAAACCTAAAAAGAGAACACCTGAAATAACAAAAATAGATTAATGCAAAAAACATAACCAGAATAAAGCAAAAGCAAAACAAACCTAACAAACCCAACCCTAAGATACAAACCAAATTACATTTTCCCATTCTCTAGCTTTTTCTCTACCTCGAGCTTCTTTTCTGAACATACGGCTTTACGTTCAACCATAAGAAGATTCGCGCAAATAAATCTTGATATATCTGACGAAATTGTTGATTGATAAAAAAAAAGTATTTTAAATGCCACGATAATTACATTTAATGAATTTTAATGCCAATTAAGGCCTTAATTTAAAAAATAATAATTTAATTACTTTTAATGACCCGCGAAAACTCTGTCATGGAAACTAATTTATTTAATGTTACTTTGTACTGCTGGTGAAACAAATACGGCAAAATAGAAACCACAAATACAGTAAAAAGAGTCTCTTTAAAATGATAATATATATGATGTTGTCTAAGCACTGGACCAAATGTAACTAATGTACAATTAGATCATGTTATTTCAATAACATTCTGGTACCATTTAATATGGGCTGTTACACCATCAAAATCAAAGTCTTGGTACCACAATCAATAATACGTTGTAAACTACAACCACACATATTAATCCCTAGCTGGAAAAAACTAGTGAAATGTATTAAACTAATCCTCAGTCAAGGCAGCAAAGTAAGATTAAAAAGCACAATTAATTTATTTCACATATAAACCAAATTAAAGTACATTTTTAAGTGAAGACCTTTGATTAAAAAGCCAAACAGGAGCCTCCACTTTCTGTTAGGTTGATCTAGGTTCCTGTTATGCCACTAACAAACACTCCATCTTCAATCAACATGTTGGTGAGGGAGTCTGCCTCTACTCTGTTGCCAGTGTGCCCTTCAAACAGGTTACCTTAGATAAGGAAAAGTACAAATGACAAATTCAAACCTCTGATTAAAAAAAGAATAATCCAACAACAAACTTTATTTAGTCTTCTTTAAATCTGCAGCATGAGACCCTCCTTTTCAGCAGCTACAGCCATCTACAGATAAAACTCGAGACAATGAAAGTTGCAACTGATTTCTGCCTCGAGGAGGGAGACAAACTTACTGAATTAAATTCACTCTCTGCCTCTTCTGCATTCGGTAAAGAAAGCATTAGGAGATCACAAGTATAACTGCAAATGCAGCACAACATATACATTGCATGTTACGAGTTTATTAGCAGCTCCTTACTACGACTTGAAGTTGAAAAGAAGCAGCTAACGACTAACAACAAAGGAGTACGTTGGCTTATAACTTTACCTACCTGTTTAAAGCAATCCCACACGATAGGTTGCATCACTGTAGCGACATTTGTTGTGCTAGTTTAATAAGAATTTGACTGAATCTTATCCATGATCACAGATGTAATCGAATAGTTTGTGTAGAGGGGGTCCCCCTTTGCTAGCATGGCTATTTAGCTTTGCTAATGTAAAAGAGTTACGAAAATCGTCCTAAATAAACTCCAGCGAGAACCTTTGATAAGGAAAATAATAAATTGTGTAAAGAACTATAATATAACATGGGAAAAACGCTCGGTGGAACAGTTAGTTAAAGAAAGTTCTGATCTGAGCTAAAGCTAAAGTTAGCAAACTGATCACAGCTCGTTTAACCAGCCCCTCCAGTCTCCCCACTGCTCCGCCAACTCGCAGTATTAACCATTATTTGAAATGTGCAAATAAATATAACTTCGTACAATATGAATTCTGTTTACCTTTCCAAGTTCTTATAGTAAATGTGTGCAGTAGTGTGTTTACTACAGAAGCTAACAATAACATCCTCCTTGGAGGCCTCGCCCAGTGAACCACTTCCTGTGATGCGTTCATGAGCAGGGCGTAAGTGTCGGAACCCCAGCGAAAATATAGATCACCAGAAAACAAATGATCTCATCACTTAAGTTGTTTAATTCATGTCAGTATTTCTTTGACCTCATGATATATTTTAATACAAAAAGACTTTTTTTTATATATATATATTCAAAATACATTGTATCATTCAGTGTGATATCAGAACTATAGACAATATTTGACCACACAAATCAAATGTATTTGAAAACAACTGAACCTAATAAAAACATTTATAGTTTGGGATAAGAATAATAACATTGATTGTTTTTACATTTGTTGCAACACAATATAAATTAAATACAATTTGAAAATTAAAATAAAAAAAAACATACTAAAAAGCAACACAACATTCTATGTTGTTGAAATAATCCCTTTAGAATTAATCTTTGAAATGTTTCTGAATTGTTTTTATTTGATAAAAAAATACAGAAAGAAAGAATCAGCAAAAATATTCCCTTAATTGAAATGTTTACCACAGAATTGTGGCATCAATAGTTTCTCAGTTTCAACTGCACATTTTACTAAAAAAGATATACAAAAAAATAAAAATAAAATAAAATTCTAAAGTGTCTTTTCTCTCAGCAACACTATTGTTTATGTGCAAAATTGTGCTTCCAGAAATGTTTACAATTGGAAAAAACTTTAACTTTCCTGAAAAAAATCAAACATCTTTGGCAGTTGATATTCCTAAAACCCTAAAAATAGCCAGTTGTGTCTGTGTAAATATCCCATCCTGGCTTATTGTAAATCACTCTCACTAATGTATAAGCAATCATGTACATCCCAATATCAAGGATGTTGGGTGTTTATCACTATTGGAGGTCTGTCAGCTTGTGTAAGAAGATGTTTTCTGCATTGTGTGTCAGTTAATAGGATTAAGCTCCCTAGCTTTGTTCTTCAGATGCCTCTTACGCATCTTAATAATCCACTTCACAGTAAGTTTAGCAAAATTGGCAGCTTTAAAGAGAGCCATAAAGACAGCGCAGAGGATGCCAACCGAGCTCCAAGGATTTGCAGTCACTATCTGTATAGAAAGAAGCAGAGTTAACTTGAACAATTAGAGACTTTTCCCACCAGGTTAACATCCATTGGGAAACTTACCAGCCTGATTTCCTGCATGTAAGGATCTCTCCATTCAAAGACAACAAAGAAGAGCTGAACTGTTTGTTCCACTTCTGGCCTTTTGTCATTGAACTTCACCACTCCAGACTAAAAGAATAAACATTTATCATTTAAGCAAAGCCTTTAAGAAAAAAACATCTTCATAAATGTAAGATTAAATGAGTTTTGGATTACCTCTTGCCGAAACTCGACTGCTTCATTGTTTCTTCCAGATGTTTTCACTAAAGACATTTTGACCCAGGTTCTGAATCCTCCAGAGAAGGTCCACATGGAGTAATTCCGCTCACAGTCCCTCATAAACTCAGATTTGTTTGCGCTTGAAGAACAGAAAAGAGGTGACATGAGCTGCTGGATTAGGCTAGACAAAATTCAGGCATTGAAAGAAGTATTCATACCTCCTAAAACATTTTCTAATTTCTTTGCAACCAAAAACTTTATTATAATTTGCTGAGATCTCAGGATATAGACCAATGTAGGTCAGAAATTTGAAAAACGTAGTACTTTTACAAGCCAGGTAGCAGATCAAGGTAAGGCAATTCACTGGACGTCAACTTTCCAGTGAGGTTTGGCGCCTCCTTACCTGTGTCCTTTGTCTTAATGGATAAAAAAAAAGTGTTTATTAAAATGGCAAAAATTTTAAACAAAACAGAATTCACTACAAATGTTATTTCTTTGTATAATAAAAGATTTTATGTTTCTACTAAAGAAAAGCCTCCCAGCAGTATGATGCTGCTACCGTGCTACAGTGTACACATGGTGCATTCAGGGTATTGTGAAGTGTTAGTTTTCAGCCTCACGTAGAGTTCTGAATGTAGGTGAACAGAAAATCTATCTTGGTCTCATCTTTGCACAGTTTATTCTTTAACATCTCAGCTGTTTTCTCCACATAAAACTATTTTTTCAAACTGCTCTTCATTAAAGGCCAAATCTGTTACTATATAACTTATAGTTCTAACACCTGAGCTGTGGATTTCTATAGCTCCTCTAAAATGCCGTGGGATTCTTGGCTGCCTCTTTATCCTTACTTAGCCAGACTTTAGTGCTTTGCTTTAGTAGAACCGCTGTTTCTTCATGCATTTTTTCCTTTTCTAATATATCTGCAAGCAAGGCCTAAAAGATTTTTATTATCTAAAAAATATTGTACAGATGCTCTTATTTCCTCCTTCTTATGTTGCTATTCTCAGCCTATCACAATGAATCAGTTAATTACCTCGAAATCAGTTAATTTTTGTTTGCATGCTTGTTTGTTCTCTTTATTCCTCCCTTTCATTCTACCAAAGAGTCTGAATAAAAAAGGTTTAATTCCAGTGCATCACAATCCCACTTTTCCCAGCCAGATTGATTTATGTCGTGGACATGGCATATTATTCTGGAAAGAAGCAGGTAGAGCCGGATTTCAAAGGCAGGACTAACAGAGTCAGATGAAACAATTTCTAACCAATCACACAACTATGGATGTCACGCAAAAGGATCTTCTTTTTCCTTCTTTTTTTTTTTTTAAAGAAAAACTCTTTGAGCATCCAGTTATAGAAACTTTACCCAACTTTACCCAAACATTGCTCCGTTGCGACTGCAATCTGGATTGTTATAGTTACTAATAAGTGTTGTTGCATTATTGGCCCACCACCTAAACTGTGATTTGCCTGGTCTGTTTTAGATGTGATGTTAGAACTCCCCAACAACATAGAAATTTGAAATTTGTTTAGACCTCACATGATCTCTGCCTGTTCCTATTAACCATATCATAATAAATTGCAGACAGTTTGTCTAACAGACTGTGAGTATTTCTAGCCAAAGGTTCACTTTGGGGTGACGGAATACACAAGAATTAAAACAGATTGGTATTTTCTCTCAGACAACTTCGTTAAAGATTAAGTTTACAGATGGGCACATAAAAGGGTTTTATTTAAGCAAGGACATACATCAAAGGTACACATAAACAGCAGCAGCAAAGACTTGATTGCCCACGGCAGTTATCTCACATGGCAAACAAAACAGGATCAATACTTTGGGCTTACCTTTCAATCAAGTCACTAAACTTAGCAAAAAGCATGTAAGAAATGGCGCTGAAGTCCTCTTGTGTTTCATTCTGACTGAACTGCATGAAGATCAGCTCTTTGTTTTTTACGTCTGATGGGCCCCGGACCACCACAGCTCGTTTCTACAAATCAGCAGAAAAAAGCAGACATGGGACTGTAAATGAGCAGCTAAGAGTGCATGTAAAAAAAATCCAAACCCCTTAAGATGTACTAAACTTTGTATTATTACACCAACAAACCAATTTAAAAAGTGACCTATAAAACTTGAGTGGAAGGATATACACCTTTTCAAATCTGTTTGCAAATGTAAGAAAGTTTGAACCGAACGAGCAATAAGTTTTGGAGAAGTTCAACAGGTTCTAAAAAAATTATCCAAAACTTATCAACATCTCAGAGCTCTAATCAGCCAACTCTGCAGATAACTCTGGAGAAGATCCTCAGGTGTGAGAATCTATAAACAGGACAAGCTATAAGATCTATAAATCTGTCCTCAATGGAAGAGATGTGCTGTCATGAAAAAGGAAGTCCTGTTTTCAGTTTACTAAAAGTCTTGTAGGAATCATGGCAGATATGGAAGAAGGTCCTGTTGTTAGAGTTTACTAAGAGATTATGAATATATTAAATAACTAGAACTGGAAGTTATAGTTAATTAATAGGTCATTCAAGTCAAGGGTAGAACTAATGAATTATTATCAGTTGAATGATTCTGTCATTTGCTTACCGACCAGGGTTTTTAGCCTCTTACCTAAAAGGCTGGGACTCCTGAATCCATCTGTTAAAAATCGAGTTGTCTATCATAACTTTAGTAATTTAGGCTATGACTCTTAGCAACGTTATTAATAACCAACCAAATAAAAGTGTCTCTGTTCATTCGGATGCTACTGAAAGAAGAGTGAATCCAACCTGAGCGATAAATCTTTCTCTGTGTAAAATAAACACAAAGACCAAGGGTTAAATTACAATGGTATCTTTAGTAGCTACAATCACACAGTATTATATCTAATAATTATGCAAAGACTAAACACTACTGAAAATAAGAAAAAATACATAAATAAAAGGGGAAGAGGAGTTTAAAGGTCCGTTCAAAGTCTGAGGGATGTTCAACGTTTAAGGCTTAAGGCATTGAAAGTGTCCTTTAAAAATAGCAGCAGATAAAATGTGAATAAAACCTGACGCAGAGATGTTTCACTGCAGTCAAAACAGTGAAGTTACATTCAGTTTATGGTGAAGAATTAATAATGACTCAGGAATGCATTAAACTATGATGAGGCCGAAATGGAAATGCATTAGCTTTGCTGGCCCCAGGGGTTCTGGTCTGGACAGGGTCCAGCTGACACAAACAGAGGGTTAGCTCAGGAGTTAGCCTCTATAACGTGTACAGCATGAGGTAGCTGAAGTTACAATGTTGTGTAGTGAGCTTTAGCATTCAGTTAAAACTCTTTAAACCATCAGCAGTTGAATCAGAAAGCTTCTTTCAAATAAAACATCAACACAACTACCTATTCTGCCTGGTTCACCCAAGCAGAACACCATGCTTGCATTAGGGCTCATAGAACAGCAAATTTTCAGCCCAACCAATGTTACACACCCTATTCATAGACCTTAAGGACCAGCACAAAATACCCTATATAATAATTCTATGACCCCTTTAAGCATCAAATGGAAAGGAGGGGAAGGATGATGTTACTGTTTTGGTTCGGTGGAGTGAAGGCCTTTAGCTCGGTCCGAAGGCCTTCTGCAGGTCCTCCAACAGCAACTCTCAAAAATATTTGGATCAATCCGATGCAATAACAAGAGGTGATTTTGCAAGGGTGTTAATTCTATAATTCGCGGTAGCAAGGGACATCTCCCTTTTAGCTACGGTGGATAGTTTGTAGCTGCAGCCTTCAAACAGCAGCTCCACGGTGATGCTCCGTCTCTCCGTCATAGACAGTCCCAGGTCTGGCGGTGTCTAACGGCTTCTAAGTGATTGGGGGCCTGTTGTTCGGCGGTTAGATTTAGGTTAGCAGAGCTGGATTAGCTCCTCTCTGTCTCTGCTGTAGCAGGCTTCGGGGACACTGCGTTCAACTTAGTTTAAATCGCAGGAAAAGTAATAACACTGCACTCACCTTCTTTTGAATCGCAGGAAAAAAGACAGCTCGACTCGGTCCAACGAGCGCAGACTTCTCTGGAGGGATTTGGTCGCTACTTAGCATAGCCTTCAGCTGAAAGCGCTCAGACTAGCCTTACATTGCCTAGGGCCACCGGCAAAATAGGACGTTAAAACAGTAGTTACCCATTTTAAAAAACCTCCGCCAGAGGGGTGTGTCTTCAGAGGGGAGTAGCTCTGTTTACATTGGCGACGCTTGATCGTAACAGTCCTCTGGTCAGATGAGACAAAACCTTAAACTTATTATCACTCTGAACTGAAGCTAATTCCCTGACTTAAATATAGTAACTAGCTGTGAGCCTAAATGACTTACAGAGAGAGCTGCAGGAGAATGTTATAGATTAAAACATATAGATCCGTGTGTCTGGCCCAATCAAGTCCAGACCAAGATCCAGTCAGGAGTCAATGGTTGGTGAAAAAAAAAATAATAGCAGACATTTTCCATTTGAACTGACTAAGTTGAGCCTTTCAAAAGAGGAAGAGGGAAGTTTTCATAACATGCAAAGCTATCACAGACTGGTATCTGTAATTGAAGCCAAAGGTTCTACAGAGTTTAGACTTTTTGTTGGGTTAAAAGTATCATCGTTTTAAGGGGTTGGAATACTTTTGCAGGGGCACTATTTATCACTATAGGTGTCAGTATCATATCTGCTTTCACATCATACCTTTTTCTGTTCTGTGAACGGCCCAACGTAAGTCACCTCTTCGATCTCGCAGTCCACTTCTTGAGGCGTCCCGGGTTTCACCAAAGGTGGGATGTAGTCATGGTAGTGATGTTTGCAGCTCAGCAGCTGGGCGTCGTCAGGGAACAGAGCGATACCTACTCAAACCAAAAAAGAAAAAAAGAAAAGGTTTCACCTTTGAAACTCCCAACAGAGCATTAGAAATTTTAATTTAAATCACACTTTCCATTTTATTCTATCTTTTCATAGTTTTATTTCAGATGAATTCTTATCTGATCTACTTTTTGTGTCAAATTCACTTTAGATTAATTGCCCTGGCATTGTGTATTTGAATTCCAATAAATGTAATCTGATACAACAGAATAAAAATGTGTTATATTCATAATTAACACCCTAACTGGCCAAATCTGTGGCTGGTGGCACAAAGAAGCAGGTGTGAAGTACAGCAGTAAAGTCGCAGATACTCTCATTAGAGGTACTATGTAAACATTTCGGACAAACTCTTCATCTGTTAATCTCTTAATCTCCAAATTTTATCTCAGCTAAAAGTACCCAAACCTCAAAAAGAAAATGCTTGGGTCAGAAAAATCAGTCAAGATAATGACATCAAACTGAGCTACAGGGGGGATGTTATCAACGGTTTTGTTACTTTAACTGCATCAGTAGGAGAGATTAACAAGAAAAACTATTTGATAAGAGCACTTTCATTCTGTGTGAGAGGTGAGCAATGCCTGGAAGAAGTAGCCTCTATTTGTTATGTTACAACCACAGTTCTTTGGGTATTTTATCTTTGTTTTATGTGATACAGCTAAACATAATAGAGAAGAGGATGCATTTACAATTGGAAGTGTTTCTAACTAGAGTCCCCAACCAGCTTCAGCACAGCTGATGAATCTTCTCCCAGTTTTCCTACTTTGTTAATAAACAGCTAAAGCTCAGATAGTTTGGATGTCAGCCTCTTAACAGCTATTCTTTTAACTCTCGCCGCAGATTGTGAAGCAAATCAACCTGAACTTTGACTGGGTTGCTCTATTGATGTTTGGCCTAAACAGTTTCTGTGTATCTCTGGCTTTATGTTTAGTGAGTGATGTCCTGCTGGAAGATAAACCTGCGTTCCAGGCTAAATGATCTTTTACTATGTCTTCATGTTGCTGGACGTCTATTTAGATTTTCTTTGATTCATGTTTATAAAATGTGCCGCTCTGAGTTAGTCTTATACTGTGGCGCAAATAGCATACAATTAGATGATTTACAAAGGTGGATGGAATACCCAAAAGTATACATAAGTAAAAGTTGCACTACTAGCAGCTATGCATGAAATTACTCAAGGAGTAAAACAGTATAGACTAGATGTAATGATTTTATCAGATTAAATATTCTGAAAAATAATGCAAAGTTTTTTCTTATAGAACAAGATAAAAAAAAGAATCTAACACACAGTCATAACACAGTAATTAAGTGTCTGATTGATAAGACACTTTAAAAAATGAAGCATTTGTTATTATAAGACCTATCACTACTTACAGTATTATGCGTATATAGATCAGAATAGTATATGTTTCTTCCACTAACAAGAAACAGAATACTGTTTTTGTTCACTTGACTGCCACATGACACGGCAAAATCAGCAGATAAGAAATAGCATTAAACCAATGAACCTTAAATAGAAAACAGGAAAATCTAAGTCAAAAATAAATTCTACGGGTTTATCTCTCTGGTGTATTTTTTTATTTGAGACAAGATCATCTAGAATTTTTACTCAAGTAAGTAGAGATAATTATTCATATTTTCCCTTGAAAAAATATAACTGGGTAAATATAACTGGTTACTACCCAACTCCACTGATTTTGCAGCAAAATAAAAAAAGTTCCTGCAAACTCAAATTCTAGACTGGCAAACAAATGGATGAGCATTTAACATACTACAACTTAAATACCTTTCATAATTTTTTTTTCCTGAAAATATATTCAAAAAATACTTTTTATTTGACCCTTTATGATTAAACATTGTTTGATGAGCACCCTGAGACCTCATTAGTTCAGCACCAATGCAACTAGCAGGAGCTAAAAGAATGAGCAGAAGATTGCTGCAGTTCTGTGTTTTGGCCACAGTTGGCAGTATCATTAGAAAACTCTGTAATGCCTCTTTAAGAAAACCTGAAAACTAGCACCGCATGATGAAAAGCTCCAGACCACTAGAGGGAGACAAATATCAGCTCATGTAAGAATAGATATTACAAAGAATAAATATCTATGGACCAGACTAATAGCAAAATCATAAATGAGATGCAATCCAGAGGACATCTGGGGAATAAAGAAAAGTTCTTTGAATCTTTCGTAAACACTTAATCTCCTATATTTACCCTTACTAGGGTTCTGGTCCCTTATGACTCAATGTCGTCTCCCTCTAGTGGTATGGAGCACTAACGTCATGTGGCGCTAGCTATTTTTTAAGCAACTAGCAACAAATCTAATGACTATTTTCTATGTTATTTGAGACTTTGACAACAGAGTAAAAAGCTCTGGTTGCTCTGGTTTACTGTCTTTATTAAGCAGTTAGGGCTCTAGTGGGATCCTCTAAAGCTCTGCCACAGTCAGAGAGAACAGCAACTGTTTTTTATTTTGTCTGTTGAAAAATCAGACAATGTGCAAAGTGAAGTTCAACTTTAATTAAAAGCTGTAGAACTAAAATAATTCCTCAATGCATTTAAGTCATACACAGCCATTGTGTGTGCCTCTGCTAATTGTCTTTAAGTTGAATTTAAAAACATAAGACTGTTTATTGTAGTTTTGGGTCAGGTAAAATATTATTGAAGACTTAAAATTATTTCCTAGGGTTTATTTTTAGTTTTAAACATATTTAGAGGGTTTTAAATAACTTTCTGACTTGCTGATGTTGACATTCCTCTGTCCCATGGCTGGATCTGTATCAAAGCATTGCCAAAGGTGCAAAATAGGTGATAATGTCATCTTGCGACTTTCAGGACAACCAGTAGCAGCTTTTCTGAGTTTAACAACTGTTTATGAGACATTTTCCCAAGAAGCAATGGACCAAAGGCAATTGCAGGTGTATGCTGCCTTTGAACAGCAACCCTTATAAATGTCCTATCATGGTCTGTCTTTTTTTGCCTGTGGTTTCTTTTATTTTTTTTTAGAAGTTCAGTATCTTGTATGTTTAAGTGTTCACTGCCTTTTATGTTTCCTGTTCTGATTGCCTGGTGTTTCTGTGAGCCACCTGTTGTTTCTGAGTTTAGTTTATAAGTGAAAATAAAAATTATTGTTCACCAATCTATCTCAGCCTATAAGGCATATGCATGGTTCGTGACATATTTATAGAATAACTCTGTATATATATATATACAAAGATTTATGCTTTTTGGAACATCATTTATTGTATATTCTTTTTTGTTTCTAGAGGAAGCTGAGGCCAGGACTGCTATGGCCTTTTTTTTTTTTTACTAGGATAATCTACTGCAAGACACCATGGAGGCAGCAAGTTGGTGTGGCGCTGCAATAATAAGCCGTGCCCCTTAAACGTTAAGCCACGCCTAGGTGAACCACGCCCTCTCAAGGTTGAGGCATGCCCCGATCTGCGGTCTGCAGTCAGTGGTACTTGGCTTTTCTTGCTAAAGAGTGGGAAACAGTGGGGCTAGTTTGCAGCTTTGTCTTACTCTTAAGTTGTTTTTGCTTCCTCTAGTATTTTTCCTAAGCATGTTTTGTGAGTTCATTTATGAATCCGCAGCAGGTTTTGCATTTACATCATGTTTCCACTTTGCTGTTCTGTTTTCTGTGATTGCTGTTTTTTTTTTTTTTTTCATTTGCAGTTGTTCCTGCTGCTTTCAGCAGCTTTCCAGCGTTTCAGTGTTTACGTATGTGTTGGTCTCATTTTTGTGTTTGCAGGACCTTTTGAATTTACTGTGAAATAGGTTTCAACACAGCGTTTGCATCCCTCTGCCATCGCAGGTCTATTCTGTAAAATCTGGATAAAATACATGGGAGTTTGTGGTTGTTATGTTGCCTTTCTGTGGATGCCTATGCAATCGTTGCAGACTGGTTTAGCTTAACAGCTTGTCACCCCCTTTTCAGCATCACAATCATAGCGATTCAGATCCACACAAACCTGGAGGTGGGAATGAGTCCACTTCCTTGTAGCTGACAGACATGACGGGCTGACTGAGTTTATCCAGAAAATCAGAGATAGTCTGGTAGGCTAGGAAAATTGCCACGGCAGTTAGCACCAGGTAGATGAAGATGAGCAGTACAGTGAACACGTTCTTTAAGCAGGTTTTGCTGAATCTCCTCGGTGGACTGTTTCGTCTCAAGTCATCCCCTAAAGAGAGCAAGACACGGTAGAAGAATGTGATCAAAAATGAGAAGAACAGTATAATTTAAAAAAGAATGAACTTAGCTTAGCTGATGTTCTTATTCTCCAAACGTTAGGAGTCAAATTTAATTTGCAGGAACTCATGATTCAAAAACATCAGCGAGGAAAGGGACGCTTGCCTCCTGTAATGTTGCCGTTGGCTTCTGCTGGGACCAGATCCTCATCGATTTCATCAAAAGAGTCTTGAGACTGACCGTTACCTTCCTCATCATCATAATCATCATCGTTGAACTGTTTAGTTGAAAAAAAAGAAGAAAAACAACTATTCAGCAATAAGCAACAGAAATCTTCAAAGTTAAAACAACTAAAGCAAGTAAACATATACCAAAGAATATTTATGATGATAATATAGTGGATTCTCCTACCAATAATTTTCATTTTGTTGTAACGTTTGATTTAACCACTAGTAAAAGCTGCTCGCTTGAAGCTGTAGAGACAAACTTGTTTGAACTAAATGAAATTTAATTAGAAAACCAGAGGGGTAAAGCAAACATAATAAATTAACAAATAATTGTTTATCATAACTTTAATTTCAGCAGGTTGTTATAATGACACTAGCTTGAAAAGAAGGAATTAATCCACTCAAGCTAACTTTAGCCTCTTACTGACTAGCTACTCAAGCTAGTTGAACCAATGAATTGGTCATAAAGTCCTCACAAAGAGTCAGGTTTATAATAGTTTTATTGCGCATGATTTTGGCATAAACACACTATTATATTTCAGTAAGTTTTGTTAAGTATGTTTTGTCTGATGGCTGGCTTGATTGCTCATTCCATTCACCTGTCTAGCTCTGCCTTGTTACTTATCACTGCTCATTTGATCCACCTGCTCCTGCTTCTATTTAAACTCCTTGGTCCCAGCCATCAGTGCGAGATTATTCTTCAGCCTTAGGTGTGAGAGCTTTCTAGCGTTTCTTACAGTGTTCTGTATGGAGGACCAGCTCGACCATATTCAAAACTAAATACAGAAAAAAATAAATGCTCAATAAATTAAAAAAACATACAATTAATTGTGCTAAAAAATACAATAAACAAATAAATGTAGGAGGAAATGAAATTATACAGTGAGACATAAATGTATATATCTCTTTTAATTAGCTTCTTTATTATTCGCCTTTGTAATAATTACCTGATTTATTCATTGTCCGTTATAATCTTCAACTGTATTTTTTTTAAGTATTTATTTATGTGCATGTTATAATATTTTTGTCTGTTTTATTCTTCCTATTAATTTCTTCAATGCTATTTATTTCTGCCTGTCATTTTTATATTTCTGTATAGATTTCTAACTCATTATTCAAATGAGGAAGGGCTGTATTGGAACAGAATTGTACTCATGATGTCAACATACGCTCAGCTTGTCTGGAGCTGCATTTCCCCTCCTGTTATTATTATAGTCTCTAGATAATAATAAATTCTGAGTTTTTTTCATTTAGTGGGGGAATAATAATTAACACAGTCAGATAAACACAAATAAATGAACGTTTTCCAAAAAAATAGCAATCATAGCCAGCGGTCCTTCACACACGGCTATGCCGAGAGAGGGCTGGTTGAGACAGGCTGCAATTAATTTTATGCTTATTTATTTATTTATCATTTATTTATTTATGTATTTATATTTAAATATTGTAGAGCTGGTCCTCCATAGTTCTACATTGCCTGATCCTGATCCGTTTCTGTATTTGGACCTTTGAGCTTGGCTGCCACTGTCTGATCTGTTTGCCTGGCCTGTCTTCGGATTCCTTTTGGATTCTTCTGTGGCCTGAACCTGGATTTGCCTCCTGACCTAGCTCTCTGGATTATCCTGCCTTGCTTTGTGTGTTCGGAACTGATCTGTCAGTTCTGCAGCCTTCTAGGCTTCTGCGTCTGGAACTCTCTGGCAGCGTCCACTGAGTCTGTTCAGTCGACTGGCTGGAATCATCCTCGTTCTCTGGGCCCAGACTGAACTGTCAAACCAGGTTAGTGACTCACGCTTTCATAATCCTCCTCCGTAGAGGATAGACGCCCTAGCCACTTACACTGCAGATCTGCAGCCCCTAGTTTAAATAAATGCTTTTTAAGTTATTCCACTGTCTGTCTTGCCTGAATTCTGGGTCCTACTTTCTAAGCCATTAGAGATAAATATTTTCCGAACAGATAGAAAAACAACACAGCAGCAAAAAGTTGACTGAAAGATGAAAATGCTTAGAGAAACGCAGATAAATCGGCAGGCTAATAGTTTTGCCCAATATTTTCGGGGGGTTTTCTTATATCGGGTATGCATTTGCTGATTCATTAGTGCATTCAGTAGCTATGCTTTTAGATCACATAAAGCAGATGCATTGCCGCTCCCTCCATGTTTTGTTTGATTTGTTAATACAGGTTAAGTTTAAACTGAGAATTGTGAAACCTTTGTTATCATTATGTCATTTTTTGCATCATGCTCTGCATCAATCTGGATAATCAGTAGCAAACCTTGGATTGGCTAGACTCCTGCTGAAATAATCGATACCAACATTGGCTTAAAAAAACTGAATTGGTTGATTTCTAAAAGAGGTTAAATTAAATATGCATATTATTTTCTAAATGTGTTAAAAGGTGGTTGAGGTTAGCTTTTAATTTTTTCTTTTAGACTAGATTTTAACACATGAGCTAAAATGTCCATAGTTCTTCTTTCTAGGCTGATGAAATTATGTGTGAATATCAAGTGCTCACTTCCCCCCAGACATGCGAGGGTTTTCTCCTCCCATAACTCAAACATGTACCAACGGCCCATTTTGAATCCAGTTGTTAAATATTTTATCCCACACCTAAAAACATGAGTCATTCTAACGTGTTTTTATTTTTTTTGTTAAGCCTCTACCTAAGTAAGCTGTGTCAAAGTTTAATCAACCGAGTTGGAATGGTCCAGATTTGGTCCAAAGCTAGGTTTGCAATTTAGTCTGTTTTAGTATATTTCAGAATGCTTTACATATTGAATATAAGTGTTATCCATTTGTGGGGAGTGACAGCCTAGTGGTTAGAGCATAGAGCTTAGAATCCTGAGCCCCACTCCCACAGACTGCCACTCTGAGCAAAGACCCTTAATCCCAGACTGCTCTCTGGGCGCTGCACAATGGCAGCCCACTGCTCCCCAAGGGGAAAGGTTAAATGCAGAGGTAATTTTCTCCAATGGGAGGTTAATAAAGTTCAATAATTTATTATTACTTCACCTTGGGATTAAATCTACACTTGTAGCAAAAAGTTAAAATGCGCTTGGCGAACTAGTTTATTATGGTGTGATGGTATTTTATCTCGCACTCAAAGTAAAGCATAATGTTTGCTATGACCTCAAATTCTACCATAGCACCAGAGTTTTTGTAACATCTTTCAGTTTTCCATATCAGTCACTAGGAAGTACAATAAATCCTATCACTTTATATGGATTTATAGTTATACATATGCATATATATATATATATATATATATATATATATATATATATATATATTTGTATATCTGGAGCGTGTAACAAAAGCAGTTTCCCTCTGGGATTATTAAAGTATGTCTGATTCTGATTATTCCATAGTGTTTATTTTTTAGTTAATTACAGAGTTATAGAGCGGCTGCCATCGGCGTTGGCAGACCCTTTTCAAAGGAGCATGTGCCCTGCTGTGGATCTACAGTGCCTGGGTATGCCTGGGGCAATGATTTTTTTAATTGATTAATTTTCCACTTTCACAGCTCATCTCTAACAGCTCCGCCGCCACTCTGGTGCGCCCTGAGCTGACAGGAAGTGTACTTGCTCACCACCTCCCGCCACAGCTCAGACGTTTTGAAGGTGATTGACAGGTCGAGTTGCTTGGGCTGGAGACGCATCGGAGAGAGAGAGAGACATGGTGCAAGAAACGTCCTTTTCCAGGACCTGGTTTAGCAAGAAGGCTTGGCTAGCAGCATGTAGCTTTATTCTGCTTTCCCTGCCTCCTTTTTCAAACATTAAGATCTGACTCAGTATGGATAAAGACGGCTAAGACTGATTTAAAGCACTTTGTAGAAAAGGCAAAGAAGAATGAACAATCTGGGATTCACATGGAAAATAATATAATATAGTCTACTTTTTCTAGATGTTTGTTAATCTGCATATTTGATCCTAAATAAACACATTGACAGAAAATAAATAGTTTTTATATATTAAAAAATATAAAGCTGACCAATAGATTTTCCATTATTAAACTGGTACATTGTTTTTTTTAGGTTTGTGACATTATATTGGACCATGAAAAACACAGATTTACCTCCACAGAGCCTCATAAGGTAACATTTTTTAACAAAATGTAAAGCTGTTCATGAAATTATGGTTTCTTTTTATAATGTTTTTTTTTTTTTTGGCATTCATATAAATATATTGGTGTGATAATTTAGTGTACGTTTCACTGGCCAAGACGCTACCGTTTACCATTAAAAAAATGAACATCCAGCTCTCCCATCTTTCTGGCCATGATATACACACCTCATAGGATCATCACCATCACACCATCATAGGATGGGCCCAAATAGAAATTATAAACACAGACATGTATCTATATAGTGCTGTTTTTTGTTTGTTTTTTTTTTTTTTCCTTTTACAGTTACAAATTTCAAGATTTCAGTTTTCAAGTATTCAATGAAGATAAATTGTGCCTTCATCAGTAGTGGATTAGAGAAATACAGTTAAGTTCACAAGTGGGCCAATTCAATTCAGTTTGGTTCAGGTAGATATTTAATGATGCAGAAAATAACAATCTGATTGTACAATTTATTTATGACGCTTTATAATAATAAATAAGTGCTATAAAATATTTGCTCACTTGCTTGCATTAATCATCTGTGCCCGTGCTTTTTTAAAATAAATAATTGCCCTAACATTTTTTTTTTTTTTTGCATTTTATTTGGTGCCCTATTGTGCCCCTGTACAGTACTGGGTCAGCTGCCGCCCCTGGCACTGCTCCAGTCACATGATCAGAGTAAACAGTCCCGGGAGAAGAAAGTCAAACTGTTGTTTATGGAATATTTTGAAAAAACCTTACAAATAAAAAAGAAGAAGTTCTAAACACACCTGTTGGTAGCCGCTTCTTCCAGTTCCGGGCATTCCTCCGCTCTTCTTTTCCTGACTGGATCTTTGTTAGAATCCTTGAAATTATTTCTTTATAGTCACAACACTGACTTTGAAGAAGGCGGACATTTTTCAGAGAATCTCATTTCCCCTGAAGACGCTCAGCCGGTTTCTGCTGCAGTTCAGAGCCGCTTCTCATCCAACCCCCAACCAACCGCCCCTGTCTCTGCATTTGCGCTCAAGTTTCTTTTTCTTGTTTCCTTTCCTCCTTCCCTTTCCTAGCGCTGCGTTCACGTACTCACGGGAATATTCACCACCTATTTTAACTCCAAAAGTTTATTTTATTAAAGACTCGTAACAACGTTGTTATAAGCGCACTTATAACATTTTCCTTGCTAATTTATTACTCCAAACCTGCCGAGTTAATTCTTTAACCTAAACGTTTTGTTTGGAAACGTGTTAGTTTTATCCAATTTAAGTACAAAGAAATTTGAACCAATTTCTTGTGTTGCAGAGAATAAAGGGAATTTGATCATTTTTCGTCGGGTTTATCAGAAGTTTATATGATATGCAGAAAGAAAATTTAAAACATTTTTTGTAATAAAAAAAAAACAACAAAAAAAACTAAACATATAAAAAATATAGATTGTACTCCTTCACAGACCCAAAGGTTAGCGAAACAATAAATAGGCTTGAAACTTTTCTTTTTGATAAAGCTTATAGTCAGAGTGGCTCCGGTTATCCTAAGCTAGCTCTATAGTTATGCTGCTATAGGCTTAGACTTCCGGAGGACATAGGGACCACTATTTCATCACTCTGCTTCATTCTATCTCTATTCTCCCACACTGCAGAATCTGTTAATTCAATCTCTAACATTCTGCTCTCTCTGTATTTTCTCATAGTAGGTTCGCCTAATCTGTTCCTGTTTGGCTGTGACACCACCCTGGAGAGAAATATCAGCTGTGCTGCTGCCATCAACACCCTTGTTTATAGATGTTGGAGATTGGCCTGTTTTCCAGTGTAGTCCTGTTTCTCTGACTGTGACTAGCTGGATGTGCTCTCCTCATCCTCTGACATGGGAGCTGGCTCAGAGCTTGTCTGCTTGCCTGTGTGTTTCCTGGACAGGGCCGCATTTTACAGTTGCCTTTGTATCTCTGCTTCTGTCACCTTGAACCCCAGTCGGCCTTGGCAGACTGCTCACACTGAGCCTGGTTCTGCTGGAGGATTCTTACTGTTAAAAGGGAGTTTTTCCTCTCCACTGTCGCTACAAGCATGCTTAGTGTGAGAGATTGCATCCGAGTCAATGAGTCGATTCAATCAAGTGGTTTTCCTTAGATAGAAGACTTTGAATCAATTTGATTGTATGATCTGGTAAACTGTAAAGTGCCTTGAGATGAAATGTGTTGTGAAATCCCACTATATAAATAAACTGGATTGAATTAAAATTAAGTCTTTAATCTAAATGTTTTGTTTGGAAATGTGTTAGTTTGATCCAATTTAAGTACAAAGAAATTTTAACCAACTTCTTAGGTTACAGAGATTATAGAGAATTGATAATTTTTTCTTGGGTTTATTAAAAGTTTATATGATATGCAGAAAGAACATTTAAAAAACTTTTTCTAAATAAAAAAAAAAACAAAAAAAAAAACAAAACATAAAAATATAGATTGTACTCCTTTACAGACCCAAAGGTTAGCAAAACAAGAAATAGGAACAAAAAGAAATCGGAGAGGGTTATTTCCATCAAAATATTTATAATAATTTGTATATTTTTAATGATAGGCAATACACTGTTTTTAATCTTTGATAGATATTCTTGGGGTTGTTTGCATCTTATACTGTAATGTTAAACAAACTACTGTATTTCTATGTAGACTGGCCAAAGAATTCAGTGAAAAATATCATATTGTAACTTTATATGGTCATATTTAAACAATTTTAAAATATTGTAAATTGTGTAAATGTTTTTCAGTTTAAGAGGTTTAATAGTCACAACGATACATTTCACACTATAAATATGAACATATATGTATATTCATATATAGATTTTCCTTGGCATTGGTATTGACTTTCAATGTTATGATTCTGAGATTCAAAATCCTCATTTTGATTTTTAAAATATTATTTAAGATCACAAGATAAAAGTCACAAGTAAGACTTTTTTTCTTATAATTATTATTTGGAATCTCCTGATTTCAACTCTTAAACTCATAATAGAATAGATTTAAATATATGTCTTTGAAAGTTGAAATTGCGACTTTGTATCTCACTTATATGAATTGAAAAGTCGACATAAATACTTTAAATCTTATGGTTATGACATGCCATGTGCCATTTTTTTTTGCTTTCAAAAGGTAGCAATTGGCTCCCATAGTTTATATTTACTATGATTTTTTTGTTTGAATTTCATCATTTTGAACTGAGTAAAGCAAATCCAAACAAACTATAAAAGATGAGAAGAAAACAGTTCTTAATCTTTAAAAACATCTTACAAGCATCTTGAGCCAGCTCAGCAAAAGCTGTAAGAAAATCAGAACTGAAAGTAAATTTCAAGGAATGTATTAAATTCACTTTTAATTTTAATACATTTAAGCACATTTCAATGAAAATAAACCTTTAAATCTTTAAACGAAAATAATTGTTATGTTTAAAGTTTGAAAGCAGGATAATAAAACTAATGGGAGGATAGATGTCTGTAGGAATTTCAGGGAACTAAAAAAAGCAATAGATTTCACATTACTCTATGAATAGCAGGAATTTAGTTCCACAAACCCACTTGGGAATGTGTGTTCCTATTTCCGAGTGTATCCAAACGCAACATCGAGAAATAGTGTGACGAATAGGAAGTGGCAGGATGAGTTTCCG